GGCGAACCGCGGCCAGTGGGGGCCGCGATCGGCCGAACCTGCCACGTCAGCAGGTAAATAAACTGGCCCGGCCCGCCAGGGTGCTTACCTTGGCGAGCCGCGTGCCGAACGTTGCCGACCCCTGCCCTAGGGGCTACTGGCAGCATAGCTATGTCAGTCACAAATCACACTTCATCCACACCCGACTGACAGAGCTATGCCAGCAAAAGTTTTAGTGTAGACATGGCCTTAGATCTAGTTAGCCTGCATACTGCCAAGTGATGAAGTGGAGGTGAACTCTACTCAGATTTTAGAGAGGACTTGAAATAATATGCTTAAAAAAAAGTTTCCTGTTTCAGCCCGATTGGGGGTTTTATATGTGTTTTCAAATTATCGAGAGGTAGTGGAAGGATTCCTTCACCACCTCTCGAGTCCAACATTACATACGTAAACCAGAGAAAGTATTAAGAGCCTAAGGGTACATCTACACAGCAAAAAAGACCCATGGTGGGGAGCCCAGGTCAACTGACTCAGGCTCCTGCTGTAGGGCTAAAAATAGCAGTGCAGATATTTGGGCTTGGATTGGACTGCTATTTTTAGCCTGCAGTGTGAGCCCTGAGACTTTGAGGATCTGAGACTCGCTGCTACAGGAGGTTTTTTTGTTTTTGTTTTTTTCTGTGTAGACATATCCTAAGTCACCTTCTTTGACTTCAAATTGAATTTTGGGTTCTCAGCACTTCTCTAAATCAGTATCCTAAATGACTATACTCTGCCAGCCAGAGCTTGGATTGGGTCAGTATGCAAAGGTACAACATTCAGATACCTTTCTGAAGCTCCTATCTTGTTCTCCAGAATCTTAGCTTTCATTTTTTTATAATGGCAGTCTCTAGCTGTTATGGTTGTGAAGAAAGCTTCCAAAATATAAACTGAGTGTAACCAATGCAGAGAGGACATGGTGAGTCTATGGAGATCCTGCAACAAATTGCTCTTAGAGGTGTGAACTGTCCCATACATCTCAGTGAAGTGATCATTCAGATGCCCAATGATACTTTAAATGTCGACATTGTTAACTATTTCATTCTTCACATAAGAAGAGAGAGAGGATCATAGATCTGCATAATTTACTTTGAGTGATGTCTTGTTTTGGTACCACGAATGGGTGGTGTTTAGGAGATACCAACACATTTTCCCCTCCTCCCCCATGAAGCCTATGAGAACCCATTTGCATATTCAAACCCAACCAACAGGGAACCAAGGTCAAGGATCCCAGTAGAGCACAGAGCATGCATGATCATATCTGGAACACTACTCAATCTGTGAGCAGTCTCATTTTGGTGACTCACATGGTAGAGATTATTTTGTGGATGGAGTTTGGAAGAGTAACATATTTTTTCCCATCCTTGCTATGGGGACCTCCTGCAACACGTAAATAAACTAAGCCAGGTTCTATTCCAGAAAATTAATTTTGTCTTTTTATATTACAAGACATGTGAGAAGAGAAAAAAAAGATTACTTACTGCAGTTGATAGTCTAGATGCCAAGGTCATTTCCAAATTACCTTTGAGACCAAGTAGTGCAGGAACCAAGATAAAAACTTCAGTAACATTTCTGAACACTTCCCAATGCTATTTAAAATACAGGTAAAGAAAAAAAACCTTAGTTTTAAAAAAAGGATCCCTTCACATTCTACAACACTGTTTTAAGGGTGGTATAGTATTCTGATCTCAACAGATTTCAGAACACCAGGGTAAAGTTTACAAAAGTATCTAAGTCCCATTTTCAAAAATGACAGGCACCTAAGTCTCATGGAAAGTCAACAGCCATTTGGAAATTTTTCCTAGGTTAGTACTTGGGATAAGAGACCTCTACTAAAAACTTAGGATAAGTATTGGCCGTTCAGGTGATGATACTCTTTTCTCTGAATGAGTACAGAACAAGCTTTCTTTTATGATGTTGAGGGTTCTTTGCTGCTGTCTTTTGGATGCGACAAATCTGGGTTCCTCGCTACATCTTGTCATTAAAGCATGCATCACACTTATTGTAGGATTAAGGGTGTAAAAACTTACATTGGCCAAATGGTAATTCAGTTAGTGTCTGAAAGCCAATCAAGATCTTTTCATGAAAGGCATTGAAGTAATAATAATAACAACATAAAATATAAAATAATAATAATTAATAATAATAAAACAAAAAGTCAAGGTCTGTATCCCTTTATCAGTTCTGAGTTGCCTTAATATAGTCGGGGAAAGGCAAAGCTGATCGTTCAGTGAAGTGTATCTAGTGATTACAGAACGGGATTGGGAGACTACATTCTATTTCTGGCTCTGCCACTGACATATTGTATAATGTTGGGAAAGTCACTTAACTTGTCTGAAAAATATCAATCTCCTTTAAAGAGTGTTGTGAGGGTTGATGAATTAATGTTTGTAAAGCTTTTTGAGATCATCAAATTAAAGATATGACAGGATGTGCAAAATAAAATAAACTGAGGTCATTCAACAATTTAAGTAACTTTACTCATGAGTGTTAAGATTTACAAATATACCCAAAGGAGATACTAATGCAGGGGTGGGCAAACTACGGCCCGGGGGGCCGCATCCGGCCCTTTGGATGTTTTAATCCGGCCCTCGAGCTTCCACTGGGGAGTGGGGTCCGGAGTTTGCCCCACTCCAGTGCTCCAGCCAGGGGCTTGCACCGCTCCGTGCGTGCTGTGGCTCAACTCGGCTCCCGGAAGCAGCAGCATGTCCCCCCTCCAGTTCCTATCCATAGGGTCAGCCAGGGGCTCCGCACACTGCCCCCACCCCAAGCACTGCCCCCGTAGCTCCCATTGGCCGGGAACCATGGCCAATAGGAGCTGCAGGGGTAGTGCCTGTGGACCGGTCAGCGCGCTGAGCTGCCTGGCTTCCAGGAGCTGATTGAGGTAAGCACCGCCTGGAGCCTGTACACCCCTGACCCCCTCCCACACCCCAACCCCCTACCCCAGCCCTGATCCCCCTCCTGCCCTCTGGACCCTTGGTCCCAGCCTGGAGCACCCTCCTGCACCTCCAACCCCACCCCAGAGCCCACACCCCCAGCCGGAGCCCTCACTCCCTCCCACACCCCAACCCCCAATTTCGTGAGCATTCATAGTCCACCATACAATTTCCATACCCAGATGTGGCCCTCGGGCCAAAAAGTTTGCCCACCCCTGTGCTAATGAATGTGTCCTACTCAATCACTTTAACACGTATAATTCTCACTGACTTCAAAAGGGGATACATACTCATGTCTGAAGTCACACTGCAGTTCTAAAAGTAATTTTTTTATCTGACCACTATTACCTGTTTAGTTTTTCACCATTTTGTTGCCATTATATAAGCTGACACAATGCTAACCGAATAATACACTATTATAATTAAATATCTTGACCCTGGAAATGTGAAAAGGTATGTATTTTTATCACAAAGATAGAGAGGTACAATTACTTCCCTGAACTTTTAGGGCAAAATACCTTTTGTGGATATAAAAGGAAGGGCCACATAAATCTCACCCTAAGTGAGCAGTGGATATGTAACGAGGCCCTGAGGGCTAAGACAGCCCGTATTAAGAAAAAAGCCACTTACTCAGAAAGGGAGTTGAACAAATAACATTCTTTACTCAGGTTACTTCTTGGCAAAACAGAGCTAGTTAAAGCATGAGAGAAAAAACTCAAATAATCATTTTATACATCTTACCTATAAAAACTACATTAAGCTCCTAAATTGATACAGCTGGCATTGATGCATTGTCCTCTCATTTTTAAAAAAATAAAGGTTGAACTGAGGTAGTTAGAACGTTCTGTCTGTCCTGTTCTTTGTGTTCATTTTTATATTCTTTTTGCATATATCTTGAGGGGTTTTTTAATAGTATGTCATTTCCAGGTACATTTTCAATAACACTGCTGGTGAGTCAAAGGTACCATTAGAAACTAATATGAGATTTAATCTATTTCTACCGGTATTTAAAAAGTGGCTGCAAATTAAAGCTTGGGATAGAAGTTACTACAATAATGGATTAAAGGGATATTATCAACCTGAAATCTAGTCAATTTTTTTGTAATGAGTTAAAAGTACTATCAGTTACCATACCTGCCCTTGAGTATCACTATCAATTTTACAATCATATGTTCTTATTTAAAAAAAAAAATCTCTCCCCAGTTACTGTGTAAAAGCACGAAGCAAGAGAAATTGTGAACCTAATGAACCAAAAAGTGCCAGCAAATGCACCAAGTATACAACTGAAAAAAAATTATCCTCTAATCTCTGTCAACTATAGTAATCTTAGGTATGGCTCATAACAATAAGTATAATATTCAGACTGAAGCATAATTTTCAGTTGACGACATCCTTTTAAGTCACTCAGATTCCAGTCTGACAAAGACTTGAGCTGTGTGCATAATTTTATGCAAATGAGTATTCTTGGGCCTTGTCTTGACAAGGAAGTTGTACCAGTTTAACTAAATTTGGTTTTTAAATCCATGTATTTAAACCAGTTCATATACTTATTTGAGCTAACTGTAAACTGATTTATGTGTGTCCATAGAGGGCTTTATACCAATTTAACTAAATGGATTTAAATTTTTTTTTAAATTAAACGGAGGCTACTTTTGTGTTTAGACAACACTAAGACTACATATGTGCATGGAGTTATGTACATGCTTAAATCTTTACAAGATCAGGGTTTTAATCTTAAGGAAGGCATTGTAGAAATCTGAGTTTAAAGAAAATTTAGTCTTTTTTTCTGGTTTAAATTTTGCTTTGAAAATGTGTTCTCTGTCACATTTTAAGTACTAGTACTTAAAAAACGACATGACTGAGTTTAAACTACATATTGTAGTGACACAGTATAAGGAAGCAATAGTATTTGCATACCAGTTTTGGTTTCCTTTTACTGGTTTACAAGACAGTCATTTTTTTTAGTGTAATTACATCCTGACTGAACTTTTGATTCTCAGTTTTATTTGCTCTAATTTTTGAGACCCTGAACAACAGAGTATCCTTTTGTTTGTCATTGTGTGCACTTTCTGGATTCTCAAATAATACTTAGTTTCAAATACAAATAAACTTATATTCTTCCCTTGGAGGTAAGGAATTCAGTGGATTCATATCTGTTAAAACAGATTTCTGTGAACTCTAATTGCAAAGAGAGGGAAGAGGTTAAGTTTTTATTTATACAGAATTTCTGAAACTACCACTAAGCAACTCGACAGAAAATAAAACAAAACAGCCCGCAAGGAAGGAGGAAAAGGCAAGGAACTGAGCTAGTCCTTTCTTAGGTTTTAGCTTCCAGTGAATTTTTTCAAACATTACTGTACAAAGAAACATTGCATAAACAGTTAGCTGTGAATCACATGACTATAATTCCACTGAAGTGCTGCTGATGACATCTTCAACTCAAGTGCAAAACTAAGGTTCCAGTCTAACAACCTTCATCTATTTCCGTAATCATCAGTTACAAGAATACTTCAGATTAGGAGCCTGAAGCTATGTGGAAATTCAGCTTTCAAAACTGAGAGAGAGTCTATTTCAGTCTGAACACCTACCATCAGTTGGGGCTCTTTCCTCAAACCAGTGGGATCTAGCCCTGCTGAATCCTGACATAATTCCATCACAGGGCAGAGTACTAGAGGTGTAATCTTCAGCCCTGTCTATACTATTAAAGTTAGTGTGCAGTTTTGATAGAGGCACACAATAATAGATTACTTAAGAACCATACACTCACCTCCACATACTGCAAATACTCTAAAGCAGTGGTTCTCAACCTCTCCAGACTACTGTACCCCTTTCAGGATTTGTCTTGTGTATCCCAAGTTTCACCTCACTTAAAAACTACTTGCTTACAAAATCAGACAACAATACACAAGTGTAACACCCACTATTACTAAAGCTGTGAGTCTCTCACAGAGGTCACAGAAGTCACGGATTCCTTAACTTTCTGGGACCTCCGTGACTTCTGCAGCAGCCGGGGGGGCTGCCTGAGCAGCTCGGGCAGCCTCTGGGCCAGTCGCACCAGCCACTGCTGGGGCAGTCTCGGGCCATCATGCCCCGCTCCCCCAGCAGCAGCAGGAGTTTGTGTGTGGGAGGCAGGGCCGGCTCTAACTTTTTTGCTGCCTCAAGCAGCAAAAAAAAGCGCCGCCCCCCGCCAAAG